AAGATGTAGTATACTAACCTAATACTTTGCCTGGAGTTCCGACAATTATGTGCACACCCTTGGCTAGTCGTCGAACCGTTTCAGAGACGTCAGTGCGACCTCCATAGCAAGCCATGCATTTTACATTCATATAATCGCCCAATGAGACAACAACCTGTCAAGGGTAACTTTGATAAAATTTTACCTGAGCTATTTGTAGTGCTAGCTCTCTGGTCGGAGCAAGGATTATGGCTTGCACGTCATTCGAACTCTGATCTATTCGTTCAAGCACACCAACGGCAAATGTTGCAGTCTTCCCAGTTCCACTTTGAGCTCTTAAATTTAGCAGACTTTCGAAATATCATACTGTACGAAAACATCTCTACCTTCAACAATAGGCTTAATTCCCTTCTGTTGAATTACCGAAGGCCTCTCAAATCCATTTTCATAAAGCCCTTTTAGGAGCATAGGATTCAAACACATAGACTTGAAAGATTTCAAGATAGTCACACTCGAACTAGAGCAGATGGTAGGGGCACAGTTTTGTTCCGACATGACGGGAAAACCAGTAACAGCGGGTGTATAAGATGCAGTAAAAATGACTAAAAGCATTCTTAAACTTGCAAAACTTTTTATTATCTTAGTAATTCAGCAATTTTAAGGGCTCTAAAATTTTTTATAATTATCAGTTTTTAAGCATAAATCAAAATAGTATAACATATACAATTATGGTATTTTCAGGTAGTAACGATTTACAGACATCACCTATACTCATGGTTTAATGAAATAATTATATATTTTGATTAAAATTTATTTTAGGAATATTTACTGTGATTATTCAAAGATATTTTATAGCATGAGCTTTAAGGTGATTTTAACTGCTCATGGTGAGTATTCTTATACGGCCTATCATTACACATAAGCGTTTCATTTACGTATTTGGCGCCCCCTTTATGGACAATAATTCTAATATTCTCCATTTTTTCTTAAATTAATCAACAATTTAATTAATTCTTGTCATCAATAAGACAGGCTGTTATTTGTATGTAGTCGTGCTTGAAATTTTCGATCACCAGAGCATCTTGCTGGTGTTAGATAATCATGCATAACTATTAGTAAATAGTCGATACATTTCTCATGACCTGTCTTTAAAATATTTTTTTGCAAATGAATTGAGTTAAGCTTACGTTTATATTTGCTAGAGCAGCTTCTGATAAGCAAATCTTAGGATTTGAAAATCAATAAACAAATTCAACTTTACTCTTTCTCTTGAGTTAAACAATGTCAGTAATCGACTGTGGACTTTATCTGTTTGGATTATAGAGTGAATTTATCTTAGTTAATGCATTTACTTTATAGAAGCTTATATCTCAACGTTCTCTTTTGTCAGAATGTTTGTGGAAACCTTTGATAATATTCTACTAAATAACGAATGCACTAATTCTTACAGGAACATACGGATTGCCTTATATTACATATCTGATAGAGTTTCATTTACTCTTTTTATTGCAATACTAAGTTATTTGCTTTAATATTCCAAGTTTAACAGTAGGTCACTTCCTTATGCATTACATCTTATCCCTATTGCAAGGTTTGCAATATATTGTGATAGGTAAAACTACCATGTATGTAGTAAGATTAGAGTTTTAATCAAACACG